CGTGGTCCTGCTGCTCAGAGTGGTGTCTGATTTTAATCTTAAACTGACCACCTCTACTGCATCATCAACAGGAATGCATGTAAAGAGTGATGTGACATCAAAAGAGATCATTGTTTCATCAGTCTCCATGATGACATCCCTCACCTTATCCACAAAGTCCATGGTGTTCTGTATGTGATGTTTTGAGCTGCCAACTAAAGGGATGAGTACAGACGCCAGATATTTGGAAACATTGTAAGAGACAGAGTTAATCATGCTAACAATTGGTCTTAAAGGTACACCTTGTTTGTGAATTTTAGGTAAACCATACAGACTAGGTGTGGCCTCCCCTGGGTACAGTCTCTGGTACAGAAAACGGTCAATAGCCTTGTCATGCTCCAAAATTTTCAGGCAATCTATCAACTTCTTCTTGTAACCACTTCCTAGATCTAGATATTTAAGAGACTGGGCTGAATACAGCACCTCAGACTGAGGAAGTCTTTCGGGTGAGAGATGAAACGTTTCTACATTTTTTGCTTTGTTTTGTTGTTTTTTTTTAATGTCCAGAGGACCAGATTGCACTTTTTTTGGTTTTCCTAAATCTCTTTTCAGAGGTTCATAAGTGGTTAAGTCACTAAGGAGTGTCATAACTTTCTCATGACAGTCTTTCAGGTTCAAAATCACTGTGCACTTTCCTTTGTCATTTTATGTTTCACATATCAGCTTGTGGGCCAGATAAGATGTCAATGAGGGCCAAATTTGGCCCCCAGGCTTTGAGCTTGACACATATGTCTTAGATCGTATTACTGTTTTTCTTTTACGTTTTATAATTTTATAATAGATTATAATCTTCATAGGCTTGAATATGATATTGGAATTATAGGAACAGCTCTAAAATGGTTCAAATAATATCTATCTGATAGATTCCAGTTTGTAAATGTAAATAATACATCTTCTTCATACACGAAAGTTAGTCATGGAGTTCCTCAGGGCTCAGTGCTTGGGCCAATACTCTTTACTTTATATATGCTTCCATTAGGTAAAATTATTAAACAGCATGGGATACATTTTCATTGTTATGCTGATGACACACAATTATATTTGTCCATTAAACCCAATGAATCCAATCAGCTACTTAGACTACAAGCATGTCTTAAAGACATAAAAACCTGGATGACCTTTAATTTTCTCCTTTTGAACACAGACAAGACTGAGGTTTTGGTTTTTGGACCTGAGCACCTTAGGAATGAATGTTTCAGTCTTTCTCCCTCCTTAGATGGCATTAATCTGTCCTCCAGCTCTAATGTTAAAAATCTTGGTGTTATTTTTGATCAGGACATGTCTTTTGTCCCCCACATTAAAAACGTTACTAGAACTGCCTTCTTCCACCTGCATAATGTCACTAACATTAGAAACATCTGATCTAAAGATGATGCAGAAAAACTGCTCCATGCATTTGTCACATCTAGACTGGACTATTGCAATGGTTTATTATCTGGGTGTCCAAATACTTCTTTAAAACGTCTTCAGTTGATCCAAAACACTGCTGCCAACTGGCGTTAGTAGGAGAGATCATATCTCTCCAGTTTTAGCTTCTCTCCATTGGCTCCCTGTCAAATCCAGAATAGAATTCAAAATCTTACTTCTAACCTACAAAGCTCTCAACAACCTGGCTCCATCTTATATTACAGATCTTATTGCTACATATTTTCCAAACAGAGCACTTCGCTCTCAGGCTTCAGGTTTACTTGTGGTTCCTAGAATTTACAAAAACAGAATGGGAGGCAGATCCTTCAGTTATCAGGCTCCTCTCTTGTGGAACCAACTTCCAATCTCTGTCCGTGAGGCTGACACATTATCCAGTTTTAAAACTAGGCTTAAGACTTTCCTTCTTGATAAATCCTATAGTTAGGGTCAGCTTGGGTTTCCTGAGCTGTCCCTTAGTTATGCTGCTATAGGCTTAGACTGCTGGAGGACAGACTGACCACAATTTTCACTCTGCTACTGTCTTTACTTACTCTGCTCAACCTGGTTTGTATTTGTAATTATTTTTTCTATCCTTAACATGTTTTTATCTTTCAGGTACACCTGGACCTATACCTGGACCTACCATTCTGTGTTCGTCTGTCTCTCCTTCCTGTCCTCTCAACCAGCCGGTCAAAGCAGATGGTCTCTTGTCCTGATCCTGGTTCTGCTGGAGGTTTCTTCCTGTTAAAGGGAGTTTTTCTTTCCACTGTCTCCACTGTGCTTGCTCAGGATGGGAGACTGCAACGAAGCCAAGATTCAACTTGTCTGCTGGATTCCTTAGATAGAGAACTTTACTAATTGGCTTTTATGTATGTGAGTGTTTCTGTAAAGTGCCCTGAGACAACTTTATTGTGATTTGGTGCTTTATGAATAAACTGAATTGAATTGAATTTAATAATTTGTTGGATGTAACTGGGAGCCTGTGTACACAATTTTGTTCCACCACATGTGGTGCAAATGACAAATAAAAAAACTCTGTCTCTCTATTAGTTTTCAATTATTACGTACAACATAAAAATAAAAAAAGACCTGAACTATCCAAGCTAGCCTTGTCCGTAGGCTCAAATGGACCAACTGAGGAAAGGAATCAAAGGTTTGAACGTAAGGAGTGAAACAAATGTGAAGGTAAGGTCTTCATTAGAATAATTTGGAAAAGTAAACATTAAGAAACACAAATATCCTCTTTTTACAGTCACATGAAGAAAATTTGACAAGAAATCCTTACATTTCTCCAATTAGTGGATCCCAGATTAGGGGAAAAAGAGGTCAAAGGAAAATAACAGAGTCAAGTCCTTGGTCCTGATACTTGGTGGTTCAGAGAGTTCCACAAGGATCTGGACTTTGACTTAAAAATACATTCAAAAACCTTATTTATGACATAAATCTTAGATCTTATTACCGTTTTTCTTTACAATTTATAATTTTTTTCTTGGATGTAACTGAGACCCTGTGTACACAACTTCATTCCACCACATGTGCCACATGTGACCAACTTTGACTTTGAATTTAAATACAAAAGTTAAATATATTTTGACAATTATAATGGTGAATTGAGTATATGTTGTCAAAGTCAACTTTATTGTCAAAACTGCAATAAGTACAGGACATACACATGATTGAAATTTCATTACTCTCAGACCCCTGGTGCAACAATAACCATTAAACATTAAACATTTAATTGTCTAAAGGAAGACAAGAATTGGTGGAACAAATGTGTCAACTGAAACCTCTGTGGTCCTGCCTTTACTTTGTTTTAGTGCAACAGGAAACAAAAGAGGTCAACAGGTCTGAGGTCTGGACCAGAGCCAGCCAGACCATAAACGATAATAGAAACTTTGTTAAGTTTCTGGGGTTTTGTCCTAATGTATTGGTTCAGGCAGAGCTTGAAATGTCAGCTGTCATCAGTCTCTACTCTCATCGTTCTGCTTGGTGTTCGTAATTACAGTCCTGTGGGTCCCAGCTTACCTTCCCTGCATGTTGGGGACAGGTGTTCTTGCTGGGCGGAACCTCCAGGACGGTGCACTCCTCACTGCTGCTATCTGGGGAGTGTTGGTGTGCCTCCATCTGCGAGCAGCAGCCTGGTGGTGGGGAACCTCCAAACACGTCCCTCGCTCCTCAGCAGCCAGGAGAAGGGGCTCTCTGCTCAGAAAAACAAAGGTTTCCTGCTTTGGTTTGGGTCAGTTCTGTTGAGTAACTCCTGTTTCTGTTCACTCCATCGTAACATCCAGAGGAGGAGGGGAAACCTCCTGCAGCTTGGTGCGCATGTCGGCTCCCAGGAGAGATCTGTCAGAGTCCAAGAAGAACAAAGTCTTCAAACTGATCTCCTGGTTTTGGCTGAATCCAGAGAACAATCGGCTTCTGTTGACACCGTTGAGGTTCCTTCAAGAAAATTTAGTGGGTTTTTGCCCTGGGAGTGGTCAAAAATGGATCCAAAAGGAAAATTGGTCCAATAAAATTCATTATTTCAGTTCAAAAGTGACAATTCTTCTGAAACAACAAAAAGGGAAGAATTCCAGAGGATGTAATCTCTGGTATGACTTGAAGAAAAGCAGATGCTTTGATTCAATTCACTCTGGCTCTGGTTGAGGACGGAATGACTGGGTCCTGCAGAGAGGAGTAAAAACAGAAAATCAATCAACTGAAGCTGCAGTCGTTCATTTAGTAATATTTCCGGAAGACCACATTCATCCATTTTTACTTGACTGTGCCTACAACAACCTTATGTGAATCAGAATGTTGTAATCCTGGATGTGCTTGTGGTACACCAGGTGATGGTTTTAATCCACAGGTTGGACTGAAGAAATTATGGGATCAAAAATTGTTTTGTTCAGCATCTCTTTGATTTGGACCGAAGTTAACTGGGATTCAAGAATCTGTGGTGCCATGAGATGCAGTTCCTGTTCCACCACTCCATGCGGATGCCAACTATTTTCAATGAAAATAAAAATAATTGTTTTTGAGTGTTAATCTTGTTAAATTCTTGTTAAAGTCCTATCATGCACGCTCCTGCGGCTGCCATTTGGCAGCCTATCAATTTTTGGCAAAACACCAGCCCACATTTGAGGGTTCTGCCCACAATTCCGGGTTGTCAGCAGTGAAATGAAAGAAATGCGATGTGTTAGCAGTGACGCATAATAGATGTGACGTATACGGCAAAGAATAGTATTTATAGATTTTTCCACTTTTTTAGACAAATATGGACTGATGTGACTTATAGGGAGGTGTGACATGTACGGCGGAAAATACGGTATATTAAGTCTTTGTATAAATTGTCTATACAGTAGTCCCTCGTTTATTGCGGGTGTTAGGGACCATGCCCACCAACGATATGTGAAAAACTGTGATGTAGGGATACAGTAGTCCAAGTTCAATTTCTGTTACAGATTTTTATGCATTTTCTGATTTCTGTCTTTGAATGAGCAAGTGTGCGTTTTCCAAGGTCAGGAGTCGAAGCAGACATGTGTTGGAACAACTGTCTTGTTTACATCCTCTCAGACGTCAACGGAGGAGTTGGCACCTGTTTCTAAAACTCGCCAAAACAAAACTCTCTCTGTCTCTGAGAACAGTTTAATCTGTTCCATAACAATTCTTGCTGTTTTCTGACTTCTAGTAACCTCTTACATCACAAAACACACCCCTGTCTGGTTGTTATTGACCAATCAGGGACGATCAAATATACCGGAAATAGAGCTCTTTAAAATGCCGGTACTTCCTGGTTCTCCTCTCTGAGCAGTTCGGCGGCGCGGAGAAGTCCTGAGACGTTCGCAGTTCTGTGAAGTCGTTTGGGAGAACAGAAGTCCAGCCATGATAAAGCTCTTTCGAGTTGGATTATAACATCTTCTACCTCTGAGTGGAACTTCTGAAGGACCCCACTCATGTGAAGTCCACTTGCTGAGGTGAGCTGGTGTCGGACGGAATCTCGTCACTACTTCGGACGAGTCACAGCCATCCTATGGAGACGCTGGACAGGTAGCGTTAACTGGACCTCCATATCTGCTGATTTATCTTCAGAAAGGTAATGAGTCAAGTTTCCTACCAAAGCGTACCGAGGAAAAGCTGGGTTCTAATGGAGAGTGTCGGTTCTGGTCAACACTTACCCTCACACACCATCTTTTACTCCCTTTAAACTTCATTTCCATCTTTAAATTCTTCTCTCAAGTAGAAATCCTTCCAGATAATTTAGAAATGTCTGTGTAAAGTGCTCATCCACCGCCGTGTGGATAATTGATCATAATTGTACAGTTTCCATTGATGTCTGCTGTTCTGCTGAAGAGTGGAAACAATCGCCGCATTGTTTCTCACTACCTGTAAAGCTGTTAATTATGTTGTTATTTTCATATTTTGCCAAATTAATGTAAATGTTTGATGTTAAACTTTGATTCTGTAAAATAAATGACCGCATTCATTTTGATGGGTCAAAGATAAATGACGTCTCACGTTTACATTTCATTAAATTCAATGCACGTTTTATTCAGTCCAGAAAAATGAAGAATCCGTTTTAATTGATGAATATTTCGCAGCATCTGTTCATCTACAGGGCTAATTGTCACACTGTTAACTCCTGTAATTACACATCAGTCACAAAAAACTCAAGAAAATGTCAGATAATAATGTTGTTACTGCTCTCAGGGATTCAACCCAACCCTGGACCCCCCACTAATTACAGCACACCAAATGACTTTAAGAACGTGTCTGGGCTTCATTTTCTGCATGTAAACACTCGTAGCCTTCTGAAAAAACTTGATGCTTTGAAAATTCTGATCAGTTCTTCTGGGGCAGATGTTATCTTCGTCTCTGAATCCTGGCTCAACAAATCTGTAATGAATAATGACCTGGTAATCAATGGATTTAACATCTACCGCTGTGATCATCAAAAAAAAGGGGGGGGGGGTGTCGCTGTTTACATCAGAAATTCTTTGGTTGCTAATCTTGTGTCTTCTAAAACAATTCTAAACCAGTTTGAAGCCTTATCTGTTAACATCACCTTGAATGGAGGTCAGATCTTAACTGTGGTCTGCTGCTACCCCCCCCCCCCCAGCATCACCTGAGGCTCTGTCTGCACTGATGGAATTCCTTGGTAATTTAAAATTCAAAGAGATCCTTTTGGCTGGAGACCTCAACATTGATTGGGGTAAGTCGACCTCCTCTGTGATAAATTCAAGGAATGTTGCCTGTCTCTCAATCTTACCCAATTGATCGACTCTCCTACTAGATTAAACAAAAACCGTCCTGAAAAAACCTCCATCTTAGACCTATTTCTAACTAATATGCCTCACAAATTCCCTGGTACAGATGTATTTGCTGATATTTTAAGTGATCATTGTGTGACAGCTGCTTTGAGAGATATTAAACTTCCACCTTCTAAGCCCAGATTAATTCAAAAAAGGGATCTGAAACGTTTTTGTGAACAGTCATTCCTCTAGGATCTGTCTCACTTTGACAGGCATCATATTTGTAAGGGTTCCACTGCCTGCAGCCTGCCTTGCTGATGGCTGCTGATTAACAACACCTGGCGGTCATCAGCCTGATGAGCCTCTCCATCTACAAAAGGCTGCAGCCCAGTGTGACTCATCGCTGGAGCATATCACCTCTCATGGTATAGTACTGTTGAGCTAGATATGTCTAGGTGAAAAGAATTTGTTCACCTGTGTTCTCTTTTCCAGTTTCCTGGTTCCTCATGTTTTTGGATTTCCTCGTGACCTGATCTGAATCCCTCGGCCTGTCAGGTATTCCTCGTGCCATTTTTGCCTCCAGTTGCCAGCCTTCCTCGTTCCCTTGGACCCTCGTTGGATTTCCCTCAGCTGCTCACTCCTTGGACTGAAGGACCAGCTCCCCTCCTTCGGGTTTGGACTGTAAGGACAAAAATGCTCTTCAAACAAACCACTCTGGTCTCCCCCTCTGGACCAACATTAGCTTGTCGTCCCTCTTTCCAGGAGCCACTGAGAAGCAGCATGTGGATATTCACTGTAAATAATAAACACTGTTCTTTTTGTACTTCCCCTGTGTCTGCCTCGTTCTGGGTCTCATACCATCTGGGTTCCCCACGTAATCGTAACAGAAATGCTCCAGCCACAAAAGACCCAGAATGAGACCAAGAGCGAGCAGACAACCCCCGGTTCCCCGGAGGAACGGATCGACGGGTTGGATAAAGTTCTACATCAGGTGCTGACTCACCAAACCACAGTCCAGTCCAACCTTCAGGAGCTCAGAGGTATGATTTATTCTATTAAACGTCAACTGCAAGCTTCTGCCTCCTCAGCTCCAGTCGTTCCGCCAGCCCCCGTGGCTTCTGGTCCCACTACTCCTGTTCAACAAATATTCATTAAACCTTCTGAGTTCTTCACCGGAGACCCTGACCAATGTGGCGGCTTCTTGCTGCAGTGTAGACTCACCTTGGAGGGGGCTCCCTCTCAGTTCTTCTCGGACGCGGCCAAGATCACCCTTTGCGTAAGTCAGCTCAAAGGTAACGCTCTCCGGTGGGCACACTCATTTCTTCTGAGCCATGATAATCCCCCTGCTACCTATGAACTATTTCTGCATGAGTTTCGTAGGATTTTTGATCGCCCCCTGCAGACGTCGAACGCCACCAAGCGTTTGTTGAATTTACGACAGGGCCGTCGTAACGCTTCGGAGTTCGCCCTGGAGTTTTGGATCCTTGCCGCCCAAACAGGATGGGACGAGCCGGCCCTCCAAGGTATTTTCTTAAATGCCTTATCTGATTTTCTCAAAGACCAGATGGCCACGCGAGACGAGCCCGAGACTTTTGACAAGCTAATAGACCTTGCCATCTCCATCGATGACCGTTTCCGGGAAAGGAGGAGAGAGGTGAACTACAATTCCCATCGACCCCCGACTTCTGGGTTTCCGACTTCTCCAGGTGAGGCCAAGTCTGCACCTTTGTACTACGTTTCCCAGAATCCTCCCACTTCCGGGTTCACGACCCCTCGCCACAAGTTCTCTTCACCCAAGCAATCCCCCTTGAACTACATTTCCCAGTCCTCCATGCTCCCTGGTTTCAACCAATCATCTTCTTTTCCTCCACGGGATCGCTCTCCCGAGCCTATGCAGGTGGGGCGCGCACGGCTGACTCCTGCAGAGAGACAGCGGCGTGTATCCGCCCGTCTCTGCATTTATTGTGGTAACCTCGGTTATTTTCTGCCCCACTGTCCGTTTCGGGGAAATGAGAACTTCCACCAGTAAAGTGGGAGTTACTGGTGGGAACTTCTGCATTAACCTCCCCATTTAAACTATTACTTCCCATGGTCATTCAGACACCTGACCATCGCTTTTCGTTTTCTGCTCTCATCAACTCGGGTGCTGAACAAAACCTGATTAGTGCTGATTTAGTTAGAGAACATTCTTTGCCTACTCGTGAGATTCCTCCGATTTCTGTCGCCAGCCTAACCGGA